ACTAAAAAAAAAAAAAAACTTAAAAGAATAACCTCTTGCTATAGAATAACTAAAAACGAGCTGAACTAATACATCCATACATACAGTCTGTTAATCAACCTATAAATGATTTGTTTGTCTTGTACAAACTTCTATTTTGGTCTTTTTATAGGACGCCGAAAGCGTCATGAGTAAATCATGAGTAAAGCAACTCAGAAGTGTTACTGTGCGTATGCGCAGTAATAGCAGCAGGCAATGTTAAAATCAAACACCAGGTGGCGTGCCAGAATAATCTATCACTACAGGTACACCTGATACGTCTGAAGCCCTGGGTTACGTCATGACGTACGGCGGGATGTAGTCATAGCTAGCTTGTATCATGAAAGAAATTGAAATGTACAAAAAACAATGGCATAGCACATAATATTAGGTAATATTAATACCTATAGTTACATTTTCTGAAACTAGGCAAATATAGCAAATGTTTAAATGGTTGATTTTTTTTATTCAAAGTGTAAAATGACAATTTTTTAAAAATAATAATGCTAATGCTAATACTACTACTACTACTACTACTAATAATAATTGGTGTATATGTCGGTGTGCTTCCGTATTTACACACCCATATCGGCGTACATGTTGCCATATTTCCAAACACCCTATATGTGTTTGTGTACCTATAAAATATATTGCCAATGCATCTCAGTGTACTCTTTATCCTAAGGATGCATTCTAATGCATTACTGTACATCATGACCTACTGAATGCATATAAGATGTGTTCATTTTTTCGTCTATTTTATTGTTATTATTTTTTTTTTGTCAAGGCATGGCCATCTGATTGCACGAAGCCTGAAAATAATTTAATAATTAAATGTGTTTACTTACGTTTTTTCTCGTAATTGTTCCTTTTGTCTTTTGTGTGTGAGCTTTTAGGTTAGTCAATATCATCAGCTTAATTAGGCGAGAGCAAAATATGACAGCAGTCATGTGTGAAACGGTCTAAATCTGGCACGTTGTCCTCACGGGGAGATTTTTTTCCGAGGATCTGGCGCCCTGCGGTCCGTCGGTCAGTCAGTCAGGCAGCTGCTGTTCTTCACAAATACACACAAGAGACACACAGGTCTGAATGGTGAAAGGAAGGTAAAAGCGGCTACAGAATCGCCTTTTACTTGTCTTTTGTGTGTGAGCTTTTAGGTTAGTCAATATCATCAGTTTAATTAGGCGTGAGCAAAATATGACAGCAGTCATGTGTGAAACGGTCTAAATCTGGCACGTTGTCCTCACGGGGGGATTTTTTTTCCGAGGATCTGGCGCCCTGCGGTCCGTCGGTCAGTCAGTCAGGCAGCTGCTGTTCTTCACAAATACACACAAGAGACACACAGGTCTGAATGGTGAAAGGAAGACAAGCGGCTACAGAATCGCCTTTTACAGCGGAATGTTCACTCGAAGGGGTTATGGAGACGTCAAGAAATCTACACAGAAAGTTCTGGACCCAAAGAAGGATGTTTTCACGCGTCTGAAGCATCTGCGCGCGCTGTTAGGTGAGTGGGACTCTGACAGGACTGAAACATTCACAGACATATTCCCTACAGCGCGAGTTTATGCTTATAAAATCAGTTGTTTCGGGGGTTTAAATGCCACGGAGATGTTCAAATGGCCGTTCGAATGTGAAACAGGGCTGTAATGTGCGTTTTGCTCCATTTGTGATCGATAATGTATGGATTGAATGATTAGCGTTAGCTAGCTTATCGTGCTACATCAACAACAGACCTGACAGCCTGTTATGTGTCAATATATGTACAAAATATATAAACAGCAGACATGACACACTGATATGTGTGATTAAATATACCAAATATATACATAAGACATGATACACCTATATGTCTGTGAATATATACAGAATATATAAGCAGCAGACCTGACAGCTTGTTATGTGTAAATATATTTATATATACCATTAACAAATTACATGTCTGTTGTTTATTTTTTCGGTGTTAGCTCTCACACATCAGACATAGCACCCATATATATAATAATAAACTACAGACGTGACACATAAACAATAGGAATTATACACTGTTATGTCTGTGAATATAAATGCAGAATTCATAAACAACAGACGTGACACACTGACTGTGAATATATACCAAATATATAAACCATGGACATAACACCTTTATATGGTTGTGAATATACAGAAATTATACACAACAACCCTGATTTGTGAATGTATACAAGATACCCAAACATTAGACCTGACACACCAATATATGTGTGTCTATACAACAATAATCACTGATATGTGTGGTTTGTTTTACGTTATATTGACTTGTACACATTTTCCTGTAATGATGAGCTGGTTTTCTCTCAGTGCATGTGAGGTGTGTTTAAAACCCACAAATATTTTGTTTTTCAAATAAGAGAAGTAATCTGTGCTCAGTCGTGCCATTTATGTGATGTGTGTTAATTTGATGTGTGTCAGTTTCTATGATCAAATGTACTGAGCTCATCCGATCATAAGAGAAACAGGTGTAACAACGTCACACTTACTCTGTTGAGCTGAATGTTTGAAAATCATCAGTATTTTTGGGCACCATCTCTGTTCGCTCACCTGTGATGACTGACTCAAACCTGCCTGTGATGTCCAAAAATGCTAGTCTGCTTGGCAGCTCACTGGGATTTCAGCTGCATGTGAAATCTCTGTACTTGTGCTTTGTTTCACCTTTTAAACTTAACTGAGCATCTGAATTGTTTTTGTTTTTTTAAATTAATTAATTAATTTTTGACTGCAGGCTGTTTCAGTTTTTCACTTTGAAATATAGGCCTATTGAAGTAAATTGTAAAGCAGTCTCACAGAGTTCAGTCTTTATAAGAACAGTTTGTCAGTGCTTTTCCTGCTGACTCATTTCTGGTCGAGTGTCAGGACAGGTGAGCAGAGGTCACAGGCCAGAGGAACTTCCCGTGTGTTTTTGTAGTCATGTATTAGGAGCAGTGTTGAGCAAGTTACTCTGAAAATGTAATCAAATTACTGATTACTCCTTTTAAAAGTAATCACGTTACTGTTCTGATTACTTTATTTCGAAAGTAATTAGTAATTAGTTGCATTACTAGTTACGTTACTTTTTTCTCCATTAAATTTATGAAATCCCAGCATACACGCTCCCGATAAATATTTGTTATTAAAGCATCAACATTCACAGAACACTGTTATTTTTAACGAAAGCAAGCGGCTGCTGCGTGCATGGCTTGGCAGAATGCCAGCAAAGAGCACTGCATTCATAATCTCTAAAAGACATCTCAGTTCATACAAATGCAGACATGGTTTTATGTTTATGCTGCGCGATGCAACGCAGCGCGTAAAAAGGCAGTACAATTCATTATAATCAGTAATTATGTTCCCACTGGATGCAACAAATGCCTCGTTTATAATGGGTTTTAATGTTTTTGTCTCGTCGCTCCGGCCGGGACACGGCATCACAGTATGGTAGGGGTGTAACATTTCTGTCACACGCTTGAGGTATTCGGCCAATCACAACGCACTGGATAGCTGGCCAATCAGAGCACATCTCGCTTTTCAGACCGATGAGCTTTGTAAAAATCGATGCGTTTCAGAAAGGCGGGGCATAGAGGAGAAACAATAATGTACAGTATGTGTAAAATAATGTGTTTTTTAACCTTAAACCGCATAAACACATTTCATTACACCAAATACACAAAATAATGTTATTTTTAGCAACATCATATGACCCCTTTAAGTAGGGCTGTGTATTGGCAAGAATCTGGCGATACAATACACGTTGTGATACGATATGTTGCGATACATTGTGATACTGTAAGCAAGGCGATATATTGGGATATTTCTTATTTTAGGAATAGGATATATATTAAAGTGCTTGCAGGATTCTTTAGTTAAATGTATAATATGTATAAAATGTATTTAATAAAAAAAAAGACCATATATATTTTTAGACCCTGCTTTAAAGGTTCACAGTTGGTAAGTTTACAATTGTAACATACAATGTCATAACATTTTGATCTGAACAAAAAATTACATCTGCTTAATATCAATGTAAAATAACGTGGTTGCAGGATTCCTAAAGAAAACAAAACAATTGTAAAACAATAAAATAAATATAGATGTTAAACATTCTCAGAACCTTTCGACTTGGATTTCACAGGTTTTTCAGTTTGTATTTATAAATACATGAAATACGTGGAATCGCCGAGACCACGATGCGAGCACCGTCCCAACTGCACAAAACGCCCCCAACATGAGAGAAAGCTGCAGCCGACCCTACCGCCCGCCGCGCCCCGTGCGAAGGCTTTTTACACAGGACGCGGCAAGCGGCGGAACCGAGGTCCGAGGACGTTACCACAAAGGCCCAAATGACGCCACACTTCAGCTTTGTACACCGACAGCAAACTATATTAACGCTAACATTAGTGGCCTGCCCTAATGCTAGTATTTCCTGTCACTGTTTAAGTTCAGAGATGAAGACTGCTATCTAGCGGTCGGGATATGAACTCAAATGAAACAACTGCCATGAATCTTGTATGTTTCTTTTTTTTAAGTATCGATATTCCATTTTTGAGAATCGATACAGCATCGCATATTTTCTTACACCCCTATTATTAAGATCTCCATATACTCTTGCCCAGCTGCAGTGTGACATTGTCCAGTGTAAAAGGAAGAATTTCCTCTCACTGGCTGCTTCCTGTGTGGACAGGAAATGAGTATGAGTGATGGAGCTACAGAGAAGCACCATTAGGGGCCTGACGATATTTCATTTTTTCTTACTTTTCTGTTTTATCATCTGTGCTTTTTTGTTTGTTTAATTGCTTGTAATGTTTAATATGACTTGACATCAGTGTGTGTTGAATAATGGTTAATAAAACGCATACAGGCAGATCTGCCTAGACAGAACCTTCACCAGGTCCTTTTGCCCATTAATGGAGCTGTTGTTTTAATGCCATTGGCCAAATTGCTGGTTCCAATAAAAACAATGTTTGCATTGCAGTAATGTAGTTTTATGCATCATAAACCTGTTTAAATATTAGCTCAAGGTAAACGTCAAATTTGTCATTTCTGCACCCATAGTTAAAAATAATGATCAAAAGTGTCAAAATTGGTAATCAAAAAAACAAGTAAGTGCATGGACTCTGTGGACTACCATATGTGTGGTAATGGTGAATATCAAAACTGCCTGACAACTACATTTTTATTTTTAAAATATTAAAGGGGTCATATGATGAGATTTCAATTTTTCCTTTCTCTTTGAAGTGTTACAAGCTCTTGGTGCATAAAGAAGATCTGTAAAGTTGAAAAGACTAAAGTCTCAAATCCAAAGAGATATTCTTTATAAAAGTTAAGAGTCAACCACGCCCTCCTAAAACGGCTCGTTCTAACACGCCCCCAACATGTCTACGTCACGATGTGGGAAGATTTGCATAACGCCACCCAAATGTGAAAAACATTAACTTTGCGCTGTGGATCGCTGGATTGGCTTTCACCGTGGACGAAGCGGAGTCCAGTCCGGGGTCGTCACATGTGGTTGCCGCAAGCCCGCCGGCCGCGCCGTTCTCAATCGCACCGGCCGCCGCTCACTCTAGCCCGCCGTGTGTGACGCTGTGTGTTTCGTTGTGAAAGCGAAACTACTTTGTTTGGCCTTCCAAAAGAGGACATGACTAGAAATCAGTGGTTAAGTTGTGTTTACAACACTGTTCCAGAACAGTTCAACCCAAATATTCAGATGTGTGCAGCACATTTTATGGAGGACTGTTTCCTGATCCATGCCTTCAAGTTAAACCAAACTTTTATTTTGACTGGTTGCCGTGAATACCTTTACATTTCTGTGTGTATATGATATGAGGATAGTTTTACTCAAATGAAACGGTCAAATGCTCATGAAGTGACTCTCAAAGAAGTTCTGGAGATATTGTTCATGTATTTATGTCCTCATTTAGTGAAACGGCAGACGCTAAAATCACCGCAATTGTCACGCGCGCTTCAATTCAGTACGAGTGGTAAAAAAAAACGCACGTCTGCGCCATTCATTGACACAGAGACACGCAGAATTCATTTAAATATGAATCGTTTTGTGGCTTAATATTTACAAATACTAGTGGGAGTGTGCTCACTTGTGTGTGTGTGTGTGTG